ATGGTTCTAATTTTGCTTTAAGTTCTGATTCTGATTCTTCTGATTCTGAAGGTGAGCTTAATATTAATATGATTAAGACAAAAGAAAAGTAAAGCTGAAGTCTACTCTAAGAAATCGTCCTCAAAGAAGTGGTCTAAGAAAAAATCTAAGTTACATGAATCTGTTAAGCAAACTGATAAGACAGATATTGAGAAGCCTATAGTTAGCTCTAATAAGGCTAATCAAAGTAAACAAAGTAAATAAAGCACTTTAGAGGATACAATCCACAAGATTATTTAAAGTAAATAAAGCACTTTAGAGGATATAATCTGCAAGATTATTCAAAGTGAACTTAAATTAATTTTTCCTTAAGATGTTTCGAGTAAAACTTCTCATCATTAACCTTTATTATGTTATATTGATATTGTCATTTTGTAATCTTTTTGAGGCTCATAAGTTTTAGTAACATATAATTAAATATCCATTTGAGAACTCCTAACTTCTTAGCTTTCTCTATAATAAATCGCTAATCATATTGAGAGTTATTAAAACCTATTTGTATATTAGGGGATAAAAGTTTCCAACATAAGGTGAATGCTTTTAGTAAATTAGTCTGAGATCTGCATATAATTATGGTCTAATGAGAATCTGACGCAGTTTTAACATCGATAAGACAGATTTGTTTTAGTAGATTAGGGTCGTCTTTCCAATGAACTGATATGTAGATCAAAAAAAAACGTTAGATTTATCACTCTGTGCAGTAGAGAATTTACCTAAACTAAGTGAATTATATGTTTCTATATCTCATGTAAGAACAAGGGTGTGATCCCGTGAAAGCGCTGAAGAAAATAATGGATTATTATTATCACTTATTGGATTGTAATTATTCACAGATACTTGAAAGAGATAAGTACCCCTTGAATGTGTTCATATAAATAATTACTTAATACTACCTAACTCAAAAGAGATAATCTTTCTTTACAGGCTACTTTGCGGTAATAATACTGGCAGTTTAGATTATCTGAGGCTATACACATTCTAACAGAATAAACTGCTTTTAATGCATTATACTGGTCATAATATTTTCATGTTCTTATACAGATATATGGTTTCTTTTCTACATAGTATCCTTGAAGTGGATAAGTGCTAATAGTCTCAATTTTAAACTTTAATGTGCTATTAAGAATATTAGATAATATCCTTACTAATTTAGTCTTAAATATAGATAACGGTATATTTTTAGGAACTTTGACATCAAAGAAAGGTCAGATACCTGTAATATTTATTACCTTTTGCCTATTAATTAAACAATCACTAACACGCAAAATATAGGTAGAGATCCCATTTATATATTTAGTATCATCACTAACTTCAATAGGTATGAAATATATAGGTTGTTTACCAGATAGGCTTTGTTGAAGAATAGCAGTTATCTCATTATCATATTCTGCTATGATCTCATTATATGATAGAATGCTAGTTAAAAGACTAGTGCTGTCATAGCGGATGAGAGTTCTGTGATCAGTTTGGTTAAAAATAGTTGAGATATGTATGTTGACAGTAGGAAAAACTTTATATATTTCAATATAATTTTGAAATGTTTAATTAATTTTTTTATTAGATACAAAAAAAAGTAATAGCAAACTTAGATGAAAAATTGAAAAAGAAAGGCAACCGGATATACATCTAAAGACTCAGATTATTTAGTTATAATCATAATTAGATTATTTAATCATATGATTACAAATGATAAATAAAAAATAGGAAAAGAAATTCAATTTAAAAGGTAAGAAATATAATAAGAAAAATAGGTAGATATAAAAAATCATCACAATTAGGTTATTTAATTAGATTATTTAATCATAATTAGATTATTTACTTTAGATTATTTAGTTATATTTAAACTATATAGTTATATTTAGTTTATTTAATCATACATAGATTATTTAGTTATATTTAAATTATTTAGTTATATTTAGTTTATTTAGTCATACCTAGATTATTTTATTACTAAATAACCTAATCTAAACTGTTTATGACTAAATAATATAATTATATTATTTAGTCATAAACAGCTATATGTAAAGAATTTAATAAAATAAGCTAATCAAATAAATCAAGTAAATTAGGTAAATTTTATATATTTTATAATAACAAATCAGATAAATCAGTCTTATTAGCTAGTTTACAAGCTAGCTTATTTAACTTGCATTTATATTTTGAAATGAAAATCTGTCAAGAGAAATGTTTCTCTTTGATGTAATATATCAGTCGATTTTAATAATATAATATAAAATTTTTCTTAATATGATCTATATAAAATTAAATTTGATAACTTTTGTAAATTATTTCTCTAGAACTAATTTTTAACATTAATAATATATTTATAAAACATTTTCTATCCCTTAAACTGTAAGTATAAAATTAGTTCTAAAATATTTTAGAAACTTAAAATATTTTGATATCTAATGATTATAAAAAAAAATAAAATAAAAATTTTATATTTATCATATTATAATATATCTAATGGTAGTATTTTTAAACTTTAAAATTCATAATTATCAATATATATTAATTTTTCAATTTTTAATTTTTAAAAATAATTTATTATTTAATAATTAAAAAACTATAAAATTTAAATTATTGGATTCATTATATTAAGATTTATTAAATAGTAATATTTTTATATTTTTAAGTTTAATAGATAGCAAGATATATGAGTTAAAATTTTAATTTTTTTTATAATAATTTATTATTTATTTATCTTTGAAAAATCACTAGTTAATTACAATTTTTTAATTTTTACTTAGAAAATATCATAAAATTTATTATTATAAAGTATTAATTTTTTAATAATATATTTTAAAATAATTAAAAATAATTGTAATTAATAAATAAAATTGCCTACAAATTTGTAGGTAAAACAGATTTTATTTTTTAAATATATTTTGCATATATTAATAATCACTGCTAAATATAAATTTTTAATTACTAATAAATTATCACACAATTTTGATTAGTCTGAATAACATATTCAAATTTTATTATCAGAAAAAATAGGAGAATAAAATTATTTGATTAATTAGAATTATGTGTTTTTTCTTAAATTTATTATACAATTTTAATAAGTTTAAACAATATGTCTATTAAAAAAAAATAGAATTTCATTTATATGTATATTTAAATATATATTAATAAAATATTTGTATAACTATCTATATTAGTTTTTATTTTAATTATGTATTCTATATAAATAAAAAAATAATATTATCAAAATTAATTATATACAAATTAAATTTTTTTTTAAAAATTTCAAATTTTAGTATATTTGTCAATATATTAAGTTTATAAAAGTACATTATCTTTTGAATTCTTTCAATAAGATAAATTTAATGAATATAAAATTATTAATTATTAATTATTAATTATTAAATTAAATAAAATTTATATAATATTTTTAAAAAATAATATTTATTAATATTTATCATAAAATTTGAAATTATTATCTTATTAAAATAATTATATTAGTTAAATATTATTATTAAATATTGATTTAAATAAATTTAAACATTATAAATAAAGTTATTAAATGAAAACTAAAGGTTTTATAAGTTGTTTAAATAATAAAAAGTAAAATTTAGCAAAATTATATTAAAATCTTATTAAAAAAAATCTGTGAAATTCAGAAAAAGATAAAACTATATCAAAGCTTATAAAAATGTAAACTAAATTAAAACTTTAATAAAAATTAGTAAAACTAAAATTTAGATATTTTTGTCAAATCCAAAATGGATTTAAACAAGCAACCTTAATTATAATAATTTTAAATTATAATAAATTATATAATATATAATATTTTAATCATTTAGTTTTTTTAAAGGATAAAGTCAAAATAATTTTGATTATTTCTATTTATCATTTTAATTTCAGTTTCATATATGAAAGATGATTAGTAGAAAAGGTGAAATCTACCTAAAGATTTAAATAATAAAAAGGTATTAAAACTTATAAAAATGATGAATTATATTAAATATCAAAAACTTTGTAAAAAATTAAGGTTTAGATATTTAGATACATAATTTTAAATATATAATAAATCTTTTAATAACCATTTTTTAAAAAATTAGTATAAATCTAAAAGTAATAATTATAATAATCTGACTTATTTTTTAATAAATAATAAAAATTTTAATATATAAATATTTTTCTAATCTATTATATTTAATAATATAGAAATAATATTTTAAGAAATAAAAAAATTTAAATACTTTTTTATTTAAATAAATAATAGATAAATCATTTTCATATTTATATATTTTCTGAATTTACTAGCATATAGACTTTTAAATATTTTATTTAAAAATATATTTTATACAATTTAATATTAAAATTTTATTTCTTTCTATACAACGGTTTTAAATTTTAATCCTAAAATTATCATAAAGCTAAAAGTTTCTTTGTCTTATTTATAGCTGCATATTTTCAGCTTTTTTTCTTGATAGTTTCAACAATTCTTTTATTTAGGCATTTTTTCATATATTCAGTATAAATTTATTGACCTATAATGAGTAATTTGCCCTGATTATTGATTTCCATCTAAATTTAATCCAAAAGTTAATTTGCCCTGATTATTGATTTCCCATCTAAATTTAATCCAAAAGTTATTAATGTCATTATTGCTTTGGTTTACTATTTTTTAGCATTATATTTTTTTGATTATTTATAATTAATTTTATCAGGTGTATATTTATATATCAAAATTTTAATTCGGACTTCTTCAATCGAAGACTGCAAATAAAACAAATTCTGCAAAATAAGAAGAAAAACCAATAAATGATATCGTTATTACCACTCATTCAATAAATAATCATTGTAAAGGAAAATAATGGGATGCAGGGGCGTCTTACGTGAAACCATGTAAAATACTAGTTTGGACAAGTTGTTTGCCAAAAAAATTAATTTTTTTTATATATAAATGGACAAATTGTTCATCAGTAAAAAGATTTCTCCTCATTAAAAAAATGGAATACCTTTTTGACGAAACATTAATTTCAACTGAAATACAAGACTTGTTGCCATCTAACTTAAAGTTAAGACCTCTCGCAAAGGATGATTTTGATAAAGGTTGTTTAATCTTCATGATTTTTGAAATTCTAAGAGATTGATTTTGACCGAAAGGAAATTAGAACGACATTTAGTCAAAAGTGATACACGAGCTTCTTGGTTGGGTGGTGGCGCAGCAGACTTTTATTAAACGAATTTTTAACGAATTAGGAATATTTAGTTGTTTGGAACAACTTTCTATCATCGGTGATGTTTCACAACAAAAATTTGTCGGTAAAGTTTCTTTTATGTACGGAATTCATTTCTCGTCTATCTTTTTTTAATTTTTTTTTAACTTGATTTCGCGATTATTCTTATTTAACAAAAGAGCGATTTGAAGAACTAAAAAAAGCATATGGATATTATATAATTGTGATTGAAGATCTGGATCAAGAAAAAATCGTAGGTTTAGGCACTTTGTTTGTAGAAATGAAATTTCTAAGGAACTTTGGAAAGGTAAATTCTTAATTACCGTGTGATTTCAAATCAATAAACTTTAATTGGGTAATCATAACTTTTTCAAATGTAACAATTCATGTAAAGGCCGGCCATATAGAAGATATTGTCGTACATGTTTCACAAAGAAGAATGAATCTTGGAAAAAGGTAAAAAATTTCATGTTCTAGTTTTATTAAAGCAATTAACGTGTTTTAAAATATGTATTTGTTTCAGGATTATCGAGCAGCTTATACATCTTGGTAAAGAACTTGGATGTTACAAGATAATTTTGAATTGTAATGAAAAGAATATTCCCTTTTATGAAAAATGCGGATTGACTTTGAAAGATGTGCAAATGACTTTGTACAATGAAGTAAGGAAAGAAGACTTGGGTGTTGAAAATTTTGCACCTCCAAAGACTGACCAATGAACTACATGTCAATAATCCATAATTTAATTTACAAGTATAAAAATTATAGAATTATTTTATTTATTTAAATTATTATATTCCTCATTCTTCAGCATCTTTTTCAGAAGAGATATTTCTATGAATTTTACTTTCAGTAATTGAAGATGAGGAAAAAGAATCAAATTCAATTTCTCTTCTTCGAACAATCTTTTCTTTTCCCTTTCCTTTTTCTTTTGTTTTTTCTTTTTTCTTTTTCTTGAGTGTCTTTGTTGAAACAACAACAGCTTCAGGGATAGAAGGAGGATTACGTTCTACAACTTTAGCAGCCAAGACTGTTTGATCAAAATTTCTTTCGCGTTTTTGGAACTTAGCAATTTGGGCTAATTGTTGTTCTTTCATTATTTTAAGTTGAGCAACTCGTTGTTTTAAATTCTTAGATCGTAATAACATTGATAACATTGTACTGCGTATATTTTGAAGTTTGCTATTATATTTGGGAATTTTTGAGAACTTTGAATTTTTAAAAAAACTTATATTAATAGAATTATTTTTTTTTTTTTTTTAAAAAAAAAAAAAAGGTTGAATAAAAAAAAACACAGACACTTAATGCTATATACTCATAATGATCTTGATTTTCCATCTTTATGTTTGTTGTCTTCAATTCATCCAATAGAAGTTTTTGTTTCTGCCTGTGAAAAAAATTTGAATATTGAAAATGAAATAAAAAAATAAATAAAGTTTAAATATATTTTTTACTCTAATTCTCGTAATTGTTCTTCAACTTGCGCTATAGTTGGTATTACATGAGCTAAAAAGCCTTCAGACAACATTGGAATAGCAGGATCAATTTTTTCCGACAATTCCTTTGCTCGAGAACCTTCCACTATTCGAGCTGGTGTATTTTCCGGAAAAAGAGTGAATGAAGCATCAGGCACCACAAAATCAAGAATTGTTAAAGCTGCTGTTTCAACTGCCGTCTCTAAACTTATAGTATCGTTAGACATCTTGCAAGGAAATGTGTAAATTAAACCATCAATTTAGGGCGTAAGATTATTTCATTCAGTGATTACTGATAGATAAGATATTTTAGATTTATTGGCTGACTTTGAGTAACTATTTGATAAAATATAAATAGTGTTTCAATTTTCATCTTATTAAATTAATCTTGCTGAACAAATCTTCCTTTGATTTTTTTTTTCTTTCTTTTTTAAAAGAATTATTCCTTATTAAAATTCTTCAACGATGGGTGATGCACCAACAACGGTAGCAGCAATAAGTCCAGCTTGTCCAATTTTTGCATCTTTCTTCGGCTTTGGAGGGGTAGCCGCTGCAGTAAGTATAATAGTTAATAGTTAAATACAGAATTATTTTAACTTATTATAATCTTAATAACTTTATGCTTTCGTTGCAACTTATTATAGATGGTATTTAGCTGTAAGTTATCGTATTATGTCCTTAATGATTTTCGAATTCATTTCTTATTAATTTATTTATCTTTTTTTTTATAGCGATCGGTGCTGCCTATGGCACAGCAAAAGCAGGAATTGGTATCGCCGGTGCTGGTACATTTCGACCAGAACTTATCATGAAGGTAAAGCTTGTATTTAACTTTTGATTTGAATATTATCATATTCATATATATTTGATATTATATGCTATTTTAGTCACTTTTACCGGTTGTTATGGCTGGTATCATTGCCGTTTATGGTCTCGTAATGTCAGTTTTAATAACAGGAGATAGTATGTATTTAATATCTTTTTATTAATATGTGTCTTATAATATATATATATATATATATATTTTTTTTGATCAAATGTTAAAGATAAATCATTGCATTTTTAGTGTCACCAAATTCTAATTATTCTTTATTTACGTAAGTATTATAATAAGAAAATTTAGATCTGAATTTGAATTAAATTTATTTTTATTTTTATTTTTAAATAAAGTGGATTTCTTCATATGGGATCTGGACTTGGAGTTGGACTTTCCGGATTAGCGGCAGGATATACTATTGGCATAGTTGGTGATGCTGTAGGTTTACGTTCAATTCTTTATTTATTTATTTTTTTGCAAAACATCCAATTTTAATTTCTTCTAACCGTGTTTTTTTTTATTAAGTGCGTAAGAGCTCATGCACAACAAACAAGACTTTATGTAACCATGGTCTTGATTTTAATTTTTGCTGAAGTATTAGGTCTTTATGGTTTAATTGTCGGATTAATTTTAAATACTAGAGCTGAAAATAAATGTTAAATATACTGTATAAGGAACTATGTTTCTGTTCTTTTCTTTTTAGATTCTTCAATTGTGTTTATTATTTTTCAATTTTTAATAATTTATGTAATTTTAAAGCGAAAAAAAACCCCCTTGCAAGAAAATATTAACTTTTTTAAACTGTGATAATAGCAATATGTGAAAATTTTGGAGGTAATTGGTTTAATAAAATATCATTAAAATATATCCTACTTTACACGATGCATTTATAGTATATTTTCATGGGTTCTGAAATGATGTAAATTGTGCCACGTTGATTTTAAGTCCATAAATCAATTACTTGATAGAATATATTTCCAATAATTACTCTCCTTCATCTTCAACCACTAATTTTAGAAATTGATCTTTTTGAGACTTTCATTATGATTATGAACACGTCTTTGTATATAATCGAGATGAATTCCATGAAGTCCATTATTACGAGAATACCTAAACTAATTTCGTTTTTTCATGATTACATTTTTCTATAGCTTCATGTCACGTGTAGACATGTTCTAAAGTTTAAAATTTTATTCAACTTCTAAATATCTATTTAATGTCTTAGAAAAAAGAAGCAATTAATCTTCCGTTTTATTATTCTCATCTTCAGTAACTGATTCTTCATTATTCATTCCCAATGTTGCCCTAAGTTGTTGTTCATACGATTTCAATTGTTGTACCTCAACTTCTAATGAAGCGCAAGCAACTTCAACTTGAAGAGTCTGGCCTATCATATCATTCCATTTATTATTCAATGCTTCAATTTGATTCCCCGCTTGAAGCTGGTTATACATATACGAGCAAAGAATACAATTAAAAAAATAGGTATTTAATCTTTTTTCAAAGGAATAGTATTTATCTACCTGTTCAGATTTTCTCTGTTTATTCAAATCTAAAATTTCTTGCTTATATTCTTCCATAATCTTTTGATACTGCTGCAACTCATGTTCTAATTGATAATTATGAAGTCTCCAAGCATTGGCCCCATATTTTTGTAATAATTCTAAATTGAACATTCTAAAGAAAAAAGTGTAAATTAAATTTAGGCCGATTTTTTTAGAATTTTGACTTTTTAACTTGTGCAATTTTTAATATAATTACCGTAAATTTTGATGTTGTAGTTGTGCTTTGGAATTATCAACAGCTTTTTTCCAACCTTCTTGATCTTCTTTATCCTCAGGTTCTGCTAACTTATATCTACTTGTATCCATTTCGGCAATAGGTTTACCTTGTTGAACACGCTGATATTCTGTTGTAAGAACTGGCGAATCCTAAATAAAAAGGGTGATCGATTTAATTCAACTTGAGGAGAGGGTAATATAAAATTAACCGAATAGGTCTAATAGATTTATTTGAAAAAAAAATCATGTTTCACACCTACTTTGAAGAATTCGAAATTTGCTGGAAAATTCAATACTTGATCGCGTTTTAAACTAGCTGGACGTTTTTTCATTTCTTGTTCAACAAGTTTATCGACCTTTGCTCGCATTCCTTTTTTTTTTTTTTTTAAAAAAAAAAAAAACATATTGTTAATATATAAAAGTATTATTGTTCAAATGTGGTAAAATAAAATATGTATTTACCTTCATAATCTATCTCTTGATCAAAGTCTTTTTATAAGAAAAGAATAAAAAAGTTAAATTACATGGGAAAAGGGCAAAAAAAAGGCTTGAATGTAACAAAAGATAGTTATTTACATGGCAAAGAGTCTATTAAAACTTCGGGACGTTCATTGGAGTCCATCTTTGAAGTAGTAATGGAAAAATTCGGCAAAATTTTTTGTTTTGGAAGTTACGTAACCTAAAATCATAAATCACGATGATAATGAACTAATGTAAATCGGGAACTATTTAACGATATATAAATTTTTTTTATTAATAAAATTACATTAGCAATTTAAGAGATAGTCAAGCTAATCAAAAGATAAAATAACATTATAATTAATTTTTATTTAATCATGTTATATAACCTTTTGATGAAAAATAAAATATTTATACTCAAGTTGGTCAATTACCATTTAATTGATATTTTCTAGTCAAGCTTCTCACTTATTAATAAGAAAATTATAAGACCTTCGAATCAAATATAACTAATAAAAAAGAAAAAGCTGGAAAGAATTCTTTAGTTAAAGTATTTTATAATAATATGATACACGATATATGTGTGAGTGCTGGGAAAGGGATCAGAATGAAAACATTTTATTCTATGTACCTTCTTATTATATTTGATTCAAAAAATAAAAAATTTTTTTTTTTTTTTTTTTTTTTTTATAATTTGTTCGCATTCACCCATAAGATTTATACACGTTTTATTATTATTAAAGCTTTGATAAGCCTTAACGTATATTATCTTTGTTTCAAGCTGTTGTACATGATTTTTTTTATATTAAATAATGATCGAAAAAAAAAAAAAAAAACCGTATTTCTTTTGACGTGTAATACAATAGGAGTTAATTATGAAATTAACTATAAAGTACATAAAATAACAATTTATGTGCGTGTAATTATACTTTCTTATTGGACATAGAAAACTGGAGGGCCTGTAACTTGTTCTAACCCCTGAAATCTAAATGTTCGTATACCCAAAATTCTGGCGCATAATTTTGTTTAATGATTTCGTTTTCGTTCTACTTTTGGAACAAAATCCAGTTCAAACTACCTTAAAGTCTGATATGTCGCAGCAACTACTTCTTCGGTTGTTCCAAAGCGAACATTTTAATAGTTGGATGGCAATCGAATATTTATTCAGATATCCAAATTCAGTTGGGATCCAACATTATTTGTGCAATGAACTCAAGAAATTTCCAATGTCGGAAATCGAGTTTTTTTTGCCGCAATTATGGTAAAAGACTTTAATTTAAAATGGTTGTTTCTAAATTTAGGAGGGTATCTAGTCATGTAATCGTGCTTGAACCTCTAAGTTCACCGGCAGAAAAGTTTAACTCGTAGATTTAAATAGCAAATTAGAACACTGTATTGATCATTACTTCTAAATTTTATAAATTCCCTTCAAAAAGTCACTTGCTCATTAGTCGAACTACCGAATCAGTTGCTTTGGAGTGTTTTATATTAGAAAATTGCGAAAAATCAAAACATATGGCTATTCTGGTAGTGTAATTAAAAAATGATTTAAATAATAAAGAAAAAATTTTTTCAAAAAAAAAAAAAAATTGAATTAAATGATATGAATCAATTATTATTGTATTTTTTTTTTTTAGACATTATGGTACCTTCAAGCGTATTGTTCAGATTTGTCCTCCAATCCATTTTCTCCTGCCTTTACGATTTGCAAACGTGTATTAAATAAATGCCAAGCAATAGTATTTGACGAAAATCTAATTGAAGATGACAAAACTTCTTCAAATCGTGGCATGTCTCCACGACAAGTGAAAGAGAATACTTTTCCTGCTCTGGTTGGTATAGGTGCCATGCTAGCAGGCATTGCTACACCAATGTTAACAAGAAGTGCTGGACAAATTGCTATAGCGCAAGGAAGGCGTGCCAGAGCTTTTAGTAACTCAGGAAACAATGGATTAGCTAGAAGAAGAACACATACTGGAAATATACGAACTCTAAGGCAGTCTCACGAAGATTCATCTAGTGATCAACCTGAAAATGAAAATTCTGCAACGCCACCTGAATTAGAAGACGATGATCATAAAGAAGAAATAAAAGTCGAAAATTCTTTTCAGGACTTAGTTATAAAAACTGATGAAACACCAGATATTCATGTTGAATTGGTTTCACCATCATCCAAAGAAAATACTCAAGAATCAGAAGATGAGCTGACATCATCATTATTAGATCCTTCAAAAGTTAACGGACAATCAAAACCTGTTTTCGTTAAAGGTCATAAGAAAAGTTTATCCAGGTCGTCTTCATCATCTTATCCTCATCGCCGTAATGGTATAAATGCGGCTACATTTACATCATCATCTCTTGATGATTTACATAAAGGAGGCTTGATTTCATCAAAGAAATATATTTCAAAACCTCGACCGCAATCAGTTGATTATCCATCATCTAGTGTAGACCATGATGATGACGGAGACGATGATATCTCTATTTATCGTATTTCAACTGAAATCTCAGATAATACTTTGTTAGATGAATTGGAAGAGTATGGTCCAGAACTGCAAAAACGTCTTCTAAAAGGAAATTATTTCCACTCAGAAATGCAATTCTTGTTAGCTTTACAGGATATCTCAACAAGATTAATTATTGTTCCCAAAGAAGCCAGGCAAAGTACACTTAGAGGAGAATTAACCTTATTAAATCATAATTTACCTGCAGAAGTCTGTATACCCCTTTGGTGTCCAGCAACAGCTGAGAATCCGCATCATCATCGAGTTGTTAGAATTTCTCCAGTTGATGCAGTCGTGTTAAATTCAGCAGATCGGGTACCGATTTTTCTTTATTAAATTAAATTTTTACTAGGATTAAATAGATTTCATTATGGATTTTTATGTTTAAATATTTTGGTGCCATTCTTTCTCTTTTTTTTTTTTTGCTATTTAGGTACCCTATTTATTAATGGTAGAAGTTCTTGAAGGAGAAATGAGCTTTGATATGTCTAAGTTGCAGACTCAAAAATCATTAAAGCGTCTTCTTCATGATGAAAAAAGAAGAAGAGGATCGTTTGATACATCGATATCTTCAGAATCAAATAAAAATGTAAACAATTTAACGAAAGTTATTCATGAACAATCTAAGGAACAATCTAAAAATATTAGTGGTAATACGGATAATCCAGTAATAGAAGTTTCAGAAAAGGAGAATAACGAGCAAGAGAATACCAGTGAAAATCACGAAGAAAATGATGCTAGTAAATTAACTGATGAAGATAAAAGCAGTAAGACAGAAAGTGATAGTGAAAGGCCTGTATCACCATTATCATTATCAGACGCTTCAAATATAATAACGCCAATTCCCCGTAGTTTGTCTACCTATTCACGTTCTTCAAAGCGAACGGTGTCAATTGATAAACTTCCATCGATAACGTCAATACCTCTAGCCCCTGTTGATGAAACAGGATTACAGCAATTAGCTACGGATACTGTAGTACGTTCAACAGACTCAATTCTACAAATGCCTAAAGATAACCGAGTTCCTTCACCTTCCCCAACTGCTTTATATGTCCCACACGCTCCACAAGTTCCTTCTGCTCTTTCCGTTCCTGTTGCTCCACCTGTTTCGCCTACTCCTTCTACTCCTTATACACCTACAACACCAACATTGCCAGAATCCAATAGTGAATATTTAAAACAAGTAATGAATCGTCGTCAGTCCAATTCTGCAGATGAGTTTGCTGAAAGGATGCGTACCGCCGCTGTGATGCTTGCTCAACTGAATCATGCAAATCAATTGCGCACTTCCTCTACCGGTGAACCCATTCAAAGAACAAAGGCTGACACTGATGCAATAAGCAAAAAAATAATTAAAGAAATGATGTGTTTGGAAGAAGAAAGGATGATGAAAATGACAACCCAAGTTACTAGCGGTGTTGGAACTAATGCTGGAGCTAATGGTGGAGAAGGCGGTGGTGGTGAAATGTTGGAAGATGAGAAAAAAATTTTAAGTGCTATAAATAAAGAAGATCCTAGTGGTACGATGAGAATAATTTATCTTATCATTTAAAAACTTATCAATTTAGTTATATTAGTATTATTCACTTTTTTTTTTTGTATAATTGATCAGCGGCCGTTTTTAGCGAAGATTGGGAATCTAAGAGAGAACGAATTCGTAAAGCATCTCCTTATGGTCATCATTCAAATTGGCGACTTTTGTCTGTGATTGTTAAAACTGGTGCTGATTTACGACAAGAGCAACTAGCATGCCAATTAATAAGAGAGATGCAACGAATATGGCAAAATGCTGAAATCGATGTTTGGGTTAAATAGTAAGTTAAAATACTTTTTTCTTAATTACTTACTTTACTAAAGTCACCCCGAAGTGGCTTCGCTGTCGTTTTTCATTAAAATATTTATATACTTCATGCATTATAATACAAATTAGTTATCGTGTATTAGTTACATCTGACAATTCGGGCCTGATAGAAACAATTCAAAATTCAATTTCAATTCATTCAATTAAAAAAGACGCTTATGCTAAAAAGTTGAATGAAAAAGGATTTATGTTCACTTTATTCGATTATTTTGTTAAGGTTTGAACTTTTTTTCCTTTGGGGAGAGTGTTTTTTTCCTAATTCTTTTATTCATCTTTGTTTTCTTTAGACATATGGAGATGTTTCCTCTGAAGCTTTTTTGCGTGCTCAAGATAATTTTATGCGAAGCTTAGCGGCATATTCGCTCGTTTGTTATATTCTTCAAGTCAAAGATCGGTAAGATTATTCATTGTTCCTCCTTCTTAATCATTTATGATTTTTCATTTCATAGATTAATTATTCAATTAATTCGTTAGTCATAATGGAAATGTTTTGTTGGACACAGAAGGTCATTTAATACGTAAGTAGTCTTTCAAAAGTAATCATTTTTCGATCGCGACTAAATTTCCTATTTAAAAAACAAATATTTATGGTTATTAGATATCGATTTTGGGTTTATGCTTTCAAATTCTCCAGGATCGGTTGGGTTTGAACTAGCACCATTCAAACTGTCACAAGAATATTTGGATATTCTTGGTGGTATAGCGAGTGAGAAATTTGCAGAATTCAAATCATTGTTAAAACAATCTTTCATTGCTTTACGGAAACATGCAGATAATTTTGTTTTATTAGTTGAAATGATGTCCAATGGTAATCAATTAATCTATCAACTAATTGACTATTTTTTTATTTTTGTTAATGGATATTTTATAAAAGGGAAAAAAAAATTTACATTTTGATACTTTAATTTAAATATTTAGATTCGAAGTTACCTTGCTTCATTTCTGGCGAGTTAACAGTTGCACACTTAAAAGAAAGATTTCAACTCTCTTTAACCGAACCACAATTCGAAGAATATGTTGAAAGATTAATTATGTCTAGTTGTTGTAATGTATTTACCAGATTATATGATACTTTCCAATATTATTCTAATGGTATTTTATAATGGACAAGAAAAGGTCAGATATTGATTTCTTATAAAAAAAAAAAAAGAATTTTTAACTGTAGACTCGAAATCATTTTCTTTCATTAGAGAGCTTACCTTTTTTTTTGGTATCACAAAAAAACTTCCATGATTATCAAAAAACTATAATTTATTGTTTATTACTTGTAAGATAAAGTCAATTTAAAAATAATACTCAAGTGATAATTGATGTTTGGTTTTCGATGTAATTATTCATATATTTATTTAAAAAGTTCATACACTAATTAAATTTGATTTAAGAATATATCAATTGTAAAGTAGTATATATAATAAGTAGTATATAAATTATTGTTATACAATCAAATAAAGATTCCTCTTTTTTTTTTTTTTTTTTTTGTGGAATTAAAAATACCTGTTAAAAAATTAACTAATCATTTCTTCCATGATATAGATAAAAATAACCTCAAACTTTCCATCTAAAGTATTACGTGAACAAAGATTTAAGATTTCTCCTCTCCTTGTAAGATAGTCAAACCTTTTCGTTTATCTTGTTTTGAATATTCTTCCTAGAAGCTGAAGAAAGCGTTGATCAACTGAGTTTATTAGATGTAGGTGTACTTGGTATAGCAGATGATATTTGGGTTTTCTTGTAATTATTACTACGAATTTCAGTATCACTTGCATCTTTTTCATCATTTGATAATTTATCCGACCAAAACCTAGCATTCATAGCAGAATCAAATTTCCTGTAATACGTATTTTCGGAATAATCAATGTTTTTTTCTTTTGATCCACGTTGAGGTAACTTTTTTCTACGAATTCTCTTAGGAGTAGATTTAAGATTTTTTTCATCATCTTGAGATGAAATGTCAAAATAATCATTATCTGAAGATCTTTCTCTTGCCGGCATAGATAAAGATTTTTTCCTTTTAGGTTCGTCGTTATCATCATCATCTAATCTGGTATAGAAAAAATCTTGAAACTCATGATAATAATGATTAACAGAATAATCAATTTTTTGTGTAGTTGCAGCTCGTTGCGGAAGTTTTTTACGACCTCCGTAATATGGCTTTTTGTGTGCAATTAATTCTGACGATGAATCTGAATAAAATGTTTCTTTCTCCTTTTCATCATCTAAATATTCATCATCATCATCATCGTTTTCATCATCTTCTAATCGATATTCTTCATCTTCATCCTTTTTACCATCTTCTTCGTGTTCATCTTCTAATAGATTTTCTTCATCATTTTCATCCTAAGGAAATAAATTGAAAAAAAAATATATATATACATACATATATATATTAAATATATTTAAAACAAAGGTTTTCCGTTTGATATTCGAAGATTCGATTGTAAATAAATAAGTTTTTGATATTTGAATATCGATATTCATTTTTTAATGATGATTGCCAAGCCTACTCTTCTTAAAGAAACTTTTTTTTTCATCGCCGAAATTATATTTTGAATTATTTGAATTCCTTGAATCAAAATACATTAGATGTTGAAAAGTAGAAAAACTCTTGACGAAACTATTTTTTGTAAAGAAAGGGTTTAGGCAAGCATTTACAACTTTCAATTTTTTTTTTTCTTTTAATATCATAGAAATCTTTGTTTGCCCAATAATTAAAAACTCTAATTAGCATAATATTTGGTAAGAGAAGTAAAACATGAAAAAATAAAATAACATTCAAAATATTCGAAATGATTTTATATTCGAAATTAATATTCGAAACCATTTCGATGTTCGTTTAAAAGTCTTAAAAAAACTTGAATTTCAAACGGAAACCTTATTTCATATTATTTTAATAAATCACTACCTGGATATTATTTCTCTTCAATCGTGTTCCTTTCCCACGGGTTTTTGGAATTTCATCATTACTTACATTCACATTTACTACTATTTGTTTTTCTTTGACTTCTTTCTCACGAGCTTTACGTCCTACTGTCACTGGCTTTTTAATAACTTCTTTTCTACTACGAGTTCTTGGAGCTTTACGAGCTGATGTCTTTTCTTCAACTTCTTCCAAGAAATTTGTTTCATTTGATTGTTTTTGAATTTTAACTCGTTTTCTTTTGAGGGTCGTCATTTAGTTATTAATGGTATTATTAACTCCAAACGAAAGTGTTTTATAGGCTTATATCTCTGTATTACCCAAAATTAAATTTATTTTTGATTTGTTTTGCGGTAGGATCATATGATCAAATGATAACTTTCATTTGATTGGCCATATATGTTACACTGAATTTATAAGTATATACACACGTCACGTGAAATTAAATAAATGCTCGTAAATGTTAAATCAGAAATTTTATTAAATATTTATTGACAATTGATTCATTTTCATATTATTTAAGGTTAAAAAAAATAAGTTTATTATCTTATTTTTATATAAATTATATAAAAATCAAAAATGATATTATTTTATTTATTTTATTTATAAAGTCATCATATTTATATAAAAGATAAAAAAACAAAATCTAGCTATTGATGGATAAACATCATCAACTGGATAATCATTTTGGAATTTTTTAATATTGATACCAAATTGATAAAAATATTTATATAATTTATCTAAAGAAAAATATATAGATAACTTTTTAGCAGAAAAAATACTAAAAATAATAAATTTAATCAGAATTAAAAAATTAGCTGCTATAAATTTGATAATAAATCAAATATAATTAAAACATGTAATTTAATACCAATCAATTTTCAAAAATTTTTAATGTTAGATATATTATATATTATTTTAATTGATTTTAAATGATTTTAAATCATAATTTTTCTTATAAAATAATAAAATATTAAAATATTAAAAGTTTGTTAGAAAAATTAAGCTTTAAAAATTTTTTTGAATAAATTAAGATCTTATTAAGATTTGTTAAAAATTATTAGAGCAAAATTTCTTAGCAATTTTTTTATATAATAATTAAATTTTAAAAAATCATATATTGATAATAATTTAATTAATAAATTAATTACAAAATATTAAATAATTAAAGGTAGATTAAAAACATATATTAAAATAAGATAAATATAAGTTGATAAATATACTAATTTAATATTATATTTAAAAGATATCTTATTAAAGTAAATAAATAACATATATTGTTTAAATACTTTATTTTTTATTTTTTTTTATAATTAATTTATAATTGAAATTAGTATTTGTTTTTATAATTAAATTTAAAAAGTTTAATTCATATTTTATATATAATTAAATAAAACAAGAGGGCAAAATTTATTGATCATCTTAATAAAAACAAAAAATGTGATTTTTTCACTACATATGTAATGTCATTTTATTTAACCTTTATTGGTCTAAAAACTTCACTATCTTATATTTCAATATCTAAATTATATATTTGTTAATTTTTTTAATATCTTTCAAATAAAAAAGTGTAACTTGTATTTATATGCAAACTGGATTTTAATATTTTTGCTAAAGTATTTTCAGTGAATGCTATTTCTAACTTCTTTATTAAATCTTTCTTATTATTTATTTTTTTTAGAATTTCACAAGTCTCTAATTGTTCTTTTACATTCTTTTTCTTTAGTTTTTTTACTTAAATTCTTATATAAAATATTGTATTAGCTATTAAATTCAAATTAATCTAAAACTAATTATTATTTATATATCTGTATTATTTAGCAATAAAACTGTCTAAGAATTCTTAGATATTGAAGAAGTTGATATATTAGGATTTAGTTTTTCAATGACTTTTAATTGTAATTTTCTAGATTTTTCAGAAAAAATTTGTTCAGGTATCAAGATTTAAAATATTTCTTACTTAAATACAATTAAGATACTTTTTAAAAACTGGCTATAACTATTTAAACTAATTTGAAATTTTAGGTAATTTGTTTTTCTCTATCAGATTCTATAAAAAAAGTAATTTAACTATTAACAAATCAAGCTCTTAAAATAATTATATTTTTTTAATTACATATCTTTTTTTTAGTTTGATTCTAAATGAGATACTGATATTTCATAAATTCTATATATTACATTTTTAATATTTCTTCCTGATAATCTATCCATTTTCAATTTTATATATTATTAATTGCATATGTAATCTATTCAGATATGTAGTAAGTGATAATTAGGCAATTTAAATAAATAGATTTATTAAACCTGAGTATAATAGTTGTTTAATTTCTTCTGATTCAAGAAATATCTATTTTTTGAAAATAACATCATATCATTCTGACCAATATCTCATAATCATCATCAAATTTATATTATGATAGTAACCTTTATTATCTGAGATTTTACTAATCCATTCTAGTTTTTTTGTCATAGATTCAATAACTACATGAAGATTAGATGCTGAAAACTAAGCAACTTAACATAGATCATTAATCTAATTATTATATGTTTAAATATCAAAGTTTATAATCTATAATGATCAATATATCTTTTTTATTTAATTCTAATAAATATGCATTAAATTATACATTTAGATATACTTTTATATTTGATAAGCAAGATAATAAGAAAATATTTAAAATATTTATCTAGTTCACTATTAATATAACTGAAGTATTAGATTTTAATTAATAAAAAATTATAAATAATTGTTTATATTTAATACATTTATAATTATGTAATTCTGTATAAATACTAAAGACATATAGAAGACAGTGATTAATACAAGCATATGAGTAATAGTTCTATTTTCAAAAAATTTTAAATTCTTATTTATAATTCTTTTTGTAATAATAACGCAAATATTCAAATTCATTAATATATTTTTCTTATAATATAATAAATAAAATGACAAATGAATTTATTGTATGTAAATAAAATAAATTATACAACTTTATAAGAAATTTATATATAGAAATATATACAGAAATAATACATTTTTTATATTCGTAATTTTCTAATAAAATCTATTGGCATTGAATAGCTTGAAATTGAAAGAATTGGAAGATTTTAATAGCTTTTCAATCTTAAAGTATAATATCTTTGGATACTAAAATAAATACTATATACTAAAATAAATATTATTTAACGTTTTGATTACAGTCTTATGTAAATTACAGGACTTTTATAAATACTAAATCAGTCCATCTATATACTAGGACTTATAGGTCTTAGGGCTTTAACTGAACTTTAACTAAACTTCCATACCCTAATTAAAATAGATAAATTTAATTCTGACCAAAAATTCAATTTCTAACCAGAATTAAGATTTTTTTATGATTTCAAAAATATTGTCTAATACTAGCTAAATTTATAGTGTTAGCTTAAATTAATTTTATTTAGTTAAAGAATTTTTAGCTAATTTCACTCTACATTAATTAAAATTAAATTAGTATTAAAATTAGAATTAATTAGAATTAGAATTAATTAAAGTTAGGTTTTTATAAAACATTAATAACAAGTTAGGATTAGAATTATATTAGAATTAGAGTTACATTAGGATTAAGGTTAGATTATTTATTAAAAAAAAAACCAATTATAAAGTTAGCATTAGAATTAGATTAGAGTTAGGATTGTGGTTAAAGTTAGAATTAGAGTTAATTTATTTATTAAAAATATTAATAAATCATTATTTAAATTGTTAAAAATACTATATGTTAAAACTTTGCATTTTTTCCTGTCGTGATAATGATCCAAAGGTAATGCCTGGGTAAAACCACTAGTATCAGTAATATTATATTTCTTTTCATTATTATTTTCACAATTTATTTGCTTATATCTTTGATCAGTTAGTTTCTTATTTTAATGATCTAAATAATTATTGCGAAATAATCAAAAATTATTACGCTATAAGAAAATTCAATTTATTGAAATTGAAAATAAATCTTAAAACTTGAGAAATGATTATTTAAAACTTTTTTTTGAATTTATTCCATTTTCTACTCTAGGTTATCCTTCTGTCAATACAATTTCTAAGCATTTTCTTGATATTTACTGTATATTATATATTATACTGAAATTTGTATAATAGATCAGTTAGTTATGTTAATTATATTACAAAGTATTAAACAAGAATCTGTAATTATCAAATCACTGTTATTGCAACTAATTTAATCTATTCTAAGTGTCTTAGATGAATAAATTCCTCAACATACTGGTATGTATTCCGCAGTTATTAATTAAGTCCCTGATATTTATATTCAATCTTTTATTTATTTTGTGTAGTAATACATATTATAATAATAAAAATTTTATATGCTATAAAAAGATTGATTTAGTTCTGAAATTAATGGAGGTGGTAGGGTATTCAGGATTTGTTGATCATAATTTTTTAATGATTTTGACCTTTTTTTGTGATTTTAACGTGATCACAGTTTTCAGTATAATTTTAAGATTTTCATGTCATTTAAATTTGATTGGATGATCTAAATTTTTTTCGTTAGATCAACTTCTAATTTTCATGCAAAAAAAGGTCTCTCCTCACATATGCTTGGCACAAAGTATAAAATATCAAGAGAATTATATTTTATAAGGCAGTTTATTATGATATCAATTTTGCAATATAAAAGTTGATCATAAAAGAAAGGACTCTGTAGATAAATATTTAATTACAATAAAACATCTAAATAACAAAATCATAGAAATGATTTTCTTTTATAATTCAAAGAACTTTGCTATCATTTGAAAATACATTAAATGAAAAAGAAAAATTAAATATAGAAGTTGTTGAAACCTTTTTTTTTGCGAAAATTCCCTTAGAAAAATTGAAAAATTAAAACCTTTTTTATTAAAGCATTGTAAAAATAGTATAAAATTATATTTATATTTTAATTTTTTAATATTTATATTATTAATAATAATTTATTTGTAGGAAGTTTAATTACTGGAGCAAATCAACTTCATGAAAAGTTTCTTCTCTTATCATATGATTTAAAAATTCAAAAAATTTAAAAATAAAATTATTGACAAACTTATTTGTTTAACAATTGATGAAATAACAGACCGTTATAGTTAACATGCTGTCAATATTTTGTTTAGTTTTGGTAATCAAACCAAATTAGCTAGAACTGAATTTTTAGATAATGTAGATGCTACTTCTATTTCTCAATTTGTAATGAATACACTTCATTTTTATAAAATTTCTTATCAAAATATTA